CCCCCTCCCCATTACCCCTCTCTTCACGCCGGAACTCATCCCTCCCGTATTCCTCTCTCCCTCCCCAGCGCTCCATGCGGTCGTCACGCCGCTCGTAGCGCTCCTCGTAGCGGTCGCTGCCGCCCCGGAAATCGTCGTCGCGGCGGTAGCCACTGCCGAAGGCCCTCCGGCCGCTGCCGATGCGCGAGTTGTAGCCTGGGGGGTGCAGAGCTCAGCCCCCCTGCGCCCGCAGTGCGGGGACTTCACCCACAGCTGCTGGGAGTCAGCCTCAGCTACGGGGATTTACCCGCAGGTAATGGGATTCAGCCTCAGCTTCTTGGGATTCAGCCTCAGCTATGGGGATTTACCCCCAGGCAATTGGATTCAGCATCAGAATATTGGGATTCAGCCTCCGATATTAGGATTCATCCTCAGCTATTGGGATTTACCCCCAGGTAATGGGATTCAGCCTCAGCTTATTGGGACTCAGCCTGAGGTGTTGGGATTCAGCCTCAGGTAACGGGATTCACCCTAAGATATTAGGATTCATCCTCAGCTATTGGGATTTTCCCCCAGGTAATGGGATTCAGCCTCAGCTTATTGGGATTCAGCCTGTGGTGTTGGGATTCAGCCTCAGATAATAGGATTTACGCCCAGGGAATTGGATTCAGCCTCAGCTATTGGGATTCACCCTCAGCTACTGGGATTCAGCCTCAGGTGCTGGGATTCACCCTAAGACATTAGGATTCACCCTCAGCTATTGGGATTTACCCCCAGGGAATTGGATTCACCCTCAGCTATAGGGATTCAGCCTCAGGTGTTGGGCAGCCTCAGATATTAGGATTCATCCTCAGCTATTGGGATTTACCCGCAGGTAATGGGATTCAGCCTCAGCTTATTGGGATTCAGCCTTAGGTGCTGGGATTCTGCCTCAGATATTATGATTCACCCTCAGCTATTGGGATTTACCCCCAGGTAATGGGATTCAGCCCCAGGTGTTAGAATTCAGCCTCAGATTTCACGGACTCATCCTCAGATATTAGGATCCACCCTCAGCTATTGGGATTTACCCCCAGGGAATTGGATTCACCCTCAGCTATAGGGATTCAGCCTCAGATACAACGATTCACCCACAGGTAATGGAATTCAGCCTCAGTTATTGGGATTAACTCTCAGCTACTGGGATTCAGCCTCAGGTGCTGGGATTCACCCTAAGATATTAGGATTCACCCTCAGTTACTGGGATTCCCCCTCAGGTATCGGGATTTGTCCTCAGCCACTGGGGTTCACTCTGCAATACTGGGATTCACTCTTGGACACCGAGTTTTCCCCCGCTGTTGGGATTCCCCCATGCCCCCACTCCCATCCCCACGTGGCAGCACCGCCTCACCCCGGTCGTAGTCTCTGCTGCGGTCATCGTAGCGATCTCTGCCGCCGAAGCCGCGGTCCATGTCGCGCCGCGGGCCATCGCGATACCGATCGTCGTAGCGATCCCGATACCCTGCAGGATGGGGCCGACAGGCGGGGTCAGGGCTCACACTACCCCGTGTCCGTGGGTCCTTGTCCCCGTGTGGACCCCGACTCACTGTCCCCGAAGGCGTCGTCCCCGCGGCGGGGTGGGAAATCATCGAAGCTGTCGGAGGCGGCGGGACGGGCGCGCCAGTCGCTCTCAAACCTCTCTGAGTCCCGGAAACGGTCCCGGTCCCGTCCAAAGCAGCGATCGTCCCGGTCTGAGGGATGGGATGGGGAAGGAGAAAGGGGAAAAGAAAGGGAAAAGGGGAAGAGAAAAGGGGGGGGGGAAAGGAGAGAAAGAGAACAAGAGTAAAGGGGAGGGGGGATGAGGAAGGTGGAAGGGAAATGGGGGAGAGAACAGGGAAGTGGGAAAGGGGAAGGAGAGGGAAAAGAAAAGGTAAGAGGGAAAGGGGAAGAGAAAAGGGAAGGGGGAATGGGGAAGAAGGAAAGGAAATTGGGAAGACAATAGGGAAGTGCAAAAGGGGAAGGAGAGTGAAAAGAGGAAAAGGAAAGGAAAGAGGGAAAGGAGAAAAGGGAAGGGGGAAAAGGAGAAAGAGAAAAGAATAAAGAGAAGGGGGATGGGGAAGGTGGAAGGGAAATGGGGAAGAGAACAGGGAAATGGGAAAGGGGAAGGAGAGGAAAAAGAGGAAAAGGAAAGGAAAGAGGGAAAGAGGAAGAGAACAGGGAAGGGGGAAAAGGAGAGAAAGAGAAAAGGGAAGGGGGAATGGGGAAGGAGGAAAGAGAACGGGGAAGACAACAGGGAATGGAGAAGGAGGGGGCAAAGAGGAAAAAGAAAGGGGGAAAGGAAAAGAGGAAAAAGAGGAAGAGAAAAGGGAAAGGGAAAGAGTATAGGGAATGGGGATGGGGAACAGGAAAGGGAGGGGAAAAGAAAGAGGAAAGGGGAAGGTGAAAGGGAAAGGTACAAGGGAAAGGGGAAAGGGAAGGGGAGGGGAAGTGGGAGAGCATGAGACTGGGGCTGGGGACAGAGCGCAGTGTGGTGACCTGCATGTGGCAGGGAGCACCGACGCTCTGGAACCACACAGTGCTGTGCCACTGTGTGACAGGGACACAGATGTGGGGACAGTTTGGTAGGTCCCCCACTGCTGAGCCCCTGCTCTGCCCAAAGCCAGCCTCCACTCCAGCCTTCAGCCCAAAAGACTCCAAATCCAGTTTCTGACCCAAACCGGCAGTGGGGGTTCAATGGAGCACCTGGCTGAGCCCTAGGAGCTCACCTTTATCCTGAGCTTGGTCAGCAACATCCACTCGTATCCTTCTGTTTCCTAGAGACTGGAAAAAAAAAAAAAAAGAAAAAAAGAGAGGAATCAGTCCCCTGGAATCAGCCCCAACCTCCAAATATTGGCCCCAACCCTCAGGGATTGGTGTGAGCCAATGTTGGAGCGATGGCTGAGCACAGAGCAGGCAGCTTGTGCACCACGGGGGCTCTCCTGGAGAACCAAAAACCAAAGGTTTGCTTTCCTTGAGGCCCTAAAGGCAAAGTTCTGCTCTCCTGGGACTCTGAAGGCAACATTCTGCTCTTCTGGGCATCCTAAAGGCAATGTGCTGCTCTCCTGGGGGCCCTAAAGGCAACGTTCTGCCCCATTTCAGCCCTTCCCCCACAGTTCTGCCAGCCCCAGAGAGGTCCATACTTGGTGCCACTTTGATGCCTCCTAGGATATGCAGTGCCTGGCCTGCTGCTGACACTTGGGGTCCTGAGCTCACCTCCTCATTGAGGCTCAGTGCCTGGAACAAGGAGTCGATGTCTTCAAACTCAGCGTAGCCAAAACCTTTCAACCTCTCAGGGTTGGTGGGCTCCCGCGGCAAGCGCACGGCACTGATCTGTGGGGAACAAGGAGGAGGAGGAGAAGGTAAGAACGTGTTAGGGCCACTCTCCTGTGGTCAGAAGCAAGACCATGGGGTTGTCTGTGAGCACATGACTCACTGCTATCCCTGGGGGTCGCCTGTTGGCCCCATTTTATCCATTTGGTAGAACCCAAAGCCATCAGATGGTCCTGTGATCTGTAGGGACCCTTCCAACTCAACCATCCTATGCTTTGATAATCTTTCAGGATGCTTCCATCCCAACCATTCCATGGTTCTGCAATCTAAAAGGATCCTTCCATTCCAACCATCCTATGATCTTTCAGGACCCTTCCAACCCAACTGTTTTTTGATTCTGTAATATTGAAGGACCCTTCCAACCCTTTAAGGACCTTTAAGGACTCTTTCCACTCAATCCATTCCACGGTTCTATGGTTTGTGATCTTCAAGGACCCTTCCAACCCAAGCAGGTTCAATGGCTCTACGATCTTGAAGGTCCCTTCCAACTCAACCATCCTATGATTCCATGATCTTCAAAGACCCTTCCAACTCAACACATCCCACGGCTCTATGATCTTCCAGGACCCTTCCAATCCAACCGTTCCATGGTTCTATAATCTTCAAGGATGGTTCTAACTCTAACATCCCATGGTTTTATGATCCAATCCAATCCAATCCAATTGTCTCACAGTTCCATGACCTTGAAGGACCCTTGAAGCCCAACTATCCCACGGTTCCATGATCTTCAAGAACCCTCCAGCCCAACCAGTCCCATGGTTTTATGATCTAGAACCACCTTTTTATCATTCTAGGATCTTGAAGGATCCTTCCAACTCAACCATCCCATCGTTTCATGATCTTAAAGGATCCTTCTATCATTCTACCATCTTCAAAGACTCTTCCAGCCCAATCATCCCATGACTCTATGATCTTCAAGGACCCTCACCCCATTTTGGGGCTGCAAACACTTCCAAGCATCGTAACACCCCTTTCCATGGCGTGCAGCACGACTGCTCCCACTCCCAAAACACCACAGAACCCCACCACAGATCACCACGCCGTGCCCCCCACGTGACTCACATTGAGGCCCCTGAAGAAGTCCTTGATGGAGTCCTCGGTGACGTCGTAGGGCAGGTTGCCCAGGAAGGCCGTGTAGGGCGGGCACTTGGGCAGGCGGCTGCGGTCGATGTTGGGCTCACGTGCGGCGCGGGGGGCGGTGGGCAGCAGCGAGCGGTCGATCAGCGGAGCCCGGTACACATCATCATCATTGCTGTGCCAAGCGGTGGAGACTGTGGGAGAGAATGGATGGGCTGCAGGAGTTGGCCACAGCGTGGAGGTGGTGGCCATGGGCTAAAGGAGGTGGCCACCATGTGGAGCTGGTGGTCGTGTGCTGCAGGAGGTGGCCATGGGCTGCAGGGGGTGGCTACAGCGTGGAAGTGGTGGCCATGGGCTGCAGGGCATGCTCTCAGCATGGAGGTGGTGGCCCTGGGCTGCAGGGCATGCTCACAGCGTGGGGGTGGTGATGACAGCATGGAGATTGTGGCCATGGGCTGCAGGGGGTGGCTACAGTATGGAGGTAGTGGTGACATCATGTTGGTGATGGTCACATCGTGTAGATGATGGCCAAGAGCAGCAGGGAGTGGTCACAGCATGGAGGTGGTGGCCACATCATGTTGGTGATGGCCACATTGTGTAGGTGATGGTCACATCATGTAGGTGGTGGCCAAGAGCAGCAGGGAGTGGCCACGGTGTGGAAATGGTGGCCATGGGCTGCAGGACGTGCTCAGAGCATGGGGGTGGTGGTCATGAGCTGCAGGGGGAGGGCACAGCGTGGAGGTGCTGGTCATGGGCTGCAGGGGGTGGGCGCAAAGTGGAGGTGGTGGCCATGGGCTGCAGGGTTGGCCAGAGCAGGGAGGTGGTGGCCATGGGCTAGAGGTGGTGGTCACATCACCTAGATGGTGGCCATGTGCTGCAGGTGGCAGACACGTCGTGCAGATCGTGGCCACGTTATACACAGTGGCCACCCCACAGCAACAGGGATGGTGGCCACCCCCTTTAGCCCATAGCCACAGACACGGTGGCCACCCCGCACAGACTGTGGTCCCTCAACATGGACAGTAGCCCCCCAAAACAGACAGTAGCTGCCCTAGGCTCGCTCTCACCCCTACCGTCGCCGTCCAGGTCATCGGTCTCATCGGCCCAGCTGACTGGCTTGGGGATGTAGGTGGGCGCACCGCTGCCGCCATCCTCCGCCAGGAAATCAGTCAGGGTCAGGGTCTTCCCCTTCTTGTTCTTCTTCTTGGCTGCTGCGGGGTGGGGGGGTGGCCAGATTGGCACCAGGGCTCTGTCTGTACCCCCCCCTCCCCGCTGGTGGCAATGGGATGTGAGGAGGAGGCGGTGGGGGTCAAGAGCTGCATTCACACACAGCTGCCCCAAACCAGTGAGGAGCTCTGCCAGAACGGCATGGGTGTCACCAAATCAGGTGTAGAGCTCATCGGAATAGGCACGGAGGTCACCAAAACTGACACAGAGGTCACCAAAATGAGCATGGGATCATCAAAACTGGCACGGTTGCCAAACCTGGCAGAGCTCCTCAAAATCAGCACAGGGGCTGCCAAAATCGCACACAGTTCCCCAAAATCAGCTTGGGGTCACCAAAACTGACACAGGAGTCATCAAAGCTGGCACAAGGATCCCCAAAATTGGCACAGGGGTTGCCAAAACTGGCACAGAGGGTCACCAAAAGCACATGAAGATACCCAAAAACATGTTGAGAACCCCAAAATCTCACAGAGCTCCCCACAAACATGAAGAGGTCCCCAACACCAGCACAGGGATCACCAAAACTGACACAGAGCTCCACAAAACCAACATGGGGAGCCGGCAAAAGCACATGGAGACATCCAAAAACATGCAGAACTCTCCAAAATCTCACAAAGCTCCCCAAAACCAGCATGGGGGTCACCAAAACCAGCACACTGACTGCATGCTGCACAGGGCCAGCACCGCACTGCTGCCACCACGCACTGCACAGGCCCAGCACCATAGCACTGCTACCAAGAACAGAGCCCAGCAGCACACAGACATGATGATGGTGCACTGCACGAGTCCCAGCAGTGCATGGGGTGGTGCTGATCCACTGCATCACGCCCACAGTGCCCAAATGTCACTGTGCGTTACATCAGGCAAGCACTACCATGCTGCACCACACACTGCACAGAGCCCAGCAGTGTACAGATGTGATGAAGGTGCACTGCATGATGCCAGCAGTGCCCAGATGTCACTGCACAGTTCATAAAAGCAGCGCCACAGCACTGCCACTACGCTCTGCCCAGCACTGCCCAGAGAAGCAATGATGATGCACTGCACGAGTCCCAGCAGTGCACAGGGTGATGCTGGTGCACTGCACGATGCCAGCAGTGCCCAGATGTCGCTGCACACTGCAAAAGGCCAGCACCAGTGCTGCCATCAGCACTGCACACAGCACAGCAGTGCACAGGATGGCGCTGGTGCACTGTGTGGGGCCAGCAGGGCCCAGATGGCACTGTGCATCGTACATGGACAGCACCACAGCTGTCCACACTGCCACCACGCACTGCACAGAGTCCCAGCACTACACAAATGTGATGACGGTGCACTGCATGACTCCTAGCAGCATGTGGGGTGGTGCTGGAGCACTGCACAGGGTCAGCATTACCCAGATGTTACTGTGAATTGTACACAGCACCGCCACCATGCAATGCACAGAACCCAACCTTGCACCACTGCATGATGCCAGGAGTGCCCAGATGTCACTGCACAAGACCAGCACCACAGCACTGCACCACACAATGCACAGGGCCTGGTGCTGTACAAATGCTGATGATGGCACACTGCACAATTCATAGCAGTGCATGGGGTGGTGCTGGATCACTGCATGGGGCCAGCACTGCACAGATGTCACTGTGTGTTGCACACAGCCAGCACCACAGCACTGCACCACGCACTGCACAGATGTGATGAAGGTGCACTGCATGATGCCAGCAGTGCCCAGATGTCAGTGCACACTGCACAAGACCAGCGCCACAGCACTGCACCATGCACTGCAGAGGGCCCAGCATTGCACAGATGTGATGAAGGTGCACTGAATGAGCCCCAGCAGTGCACAAACACTACGATGGTGCACTGCATGATGCCAGCAGTGCCCAGATGTCAACGCATATTACACATGTCCAGCACCACAGCACTACACCACGCACTGCACAAAGCCCAGCACTGCACAAACGTGATGATGATAGTGCACTGCACGGGTTCCAACACTGCACCGGGTGGTGCTGATGCACTGCATGGGCTCAGCAGGCCCCAGATGTCACTGCGCATTGCACACGGCCAGCACTGCAGCGCTGCCACCACGCACTGCACAGAGCCCAGCAGTGCACAGAGAAACGATGATGGTGCACCGCACGATCCGCAGCCGTGCACGGACGCCGGTCAGGCCGGGAGAACCGGCCCGGACGCTGTCGCCGCACGGCACACACGTCACCCCGCGTTGCGCAGCGCCCGGAAGCGCTTCGGCTGTCCCCGTTCCCCGCACCCAGCCCCGCACCGCCGCTCCCGGCCCCGCACCGCGCCCCACGTGGACCCCCCCCGGCTCCGCGCCTGCGCAGTTCCGCGCCCGTCCCCTCCCCCCCCAATGGGCGCTGTGTTTTTGTGTTTTTGGGGGGGGGGGGGGGGGGGGCAAGGCCCGAAGGCCGCTCCCGGCCCTGAAGGCCCCGCAGAGCCGCGGTGCCCTCCCCCGCAACGCCGCCAACCCCTCGCCCGACCCCGTCTCGAAGCAGCGGTGGGGCAGCGGAGTGGGGAAGGGCTGCTCGGAGGTGGCTTTGGGGCGACCGCGGGGCGGTGTGGGGTCGGAGCCGCCGCGCGGCGCTCACCTGAGGCCGCCATCTTGGCAAGAGGCAGAGAGAGGGCGAAAGGCCCGGATGGAGCCGTCACGTGATCGCCGGAGCCACGCCCACTTCCGGCGGGGCGGGGCGCGGGAAACCCGGGGCGGGGGGGGGGGGTCGGAGGGGGAGTGCGCAATGCCGCGTGTGCGGTGGGCACGTGGGCGGTGCGTCACAGAGTGACAGAATGGCGCGGGTTGGAAGGGAGCTCAGGGATCACGGAGCTCCAACCCCCCGCCACACGCAGGGCCACCAACCTCCACGTTTCACAGCAGCCCAGGCTGCCCAGGGCCCCATCCAGCCTGGCCTCCAACACCTCCAGGGATGGACGGGGCATCGCAGCCTCTCTGGGCAGCTGTTCAGCCCCTCACCGCTCTCACAGCACACAACTTCCCTGACATCCAACCTCCATCTCCCCTCCCTCAACCATTTCCCCTCATCCTGCTCTCATCTCCCCTTTCACAGAGCTGCCTCCCCTCCTGTCTGCAGGCTCCCTTCAGGCACTGCAGGCTGCACTGAGCTCACCCCCAGCTTCTCTTCTTCATGCTGAACGAGTCCAGCTCCCTCAGCCTGGCTTTGCAGGGCAGTGCTGCAGCCCCTGCTCATCTCCAGCTCCTCTGGACCCTCTCCAGCAGCTGCCTGCCTTTCCTGTCCTGGGGGCTCCAGCCCTGGACGCAGTGCTGCAGATGGTACACGAGAGCACACAAGATGCTCACAAGAGCAGAGCAGAGGGGGACGATCGCCTCCCTGTCCCTGCTGCCACCCCTGTGCTGATGGAGCCCAGGATCCCATTTGCTTTCCGAGCTGCAGTCACACACTGCTGGCTCACGTTCAGCTTCTCATCCCTCGGGACCCCCAGGTCCTTCTGTGCAGGGCTGCTCTCAAGGATGCTCCTTCCGATCTGTATGGATACCTGCCTTTCCTCCGGTCCTAGTGCAAAACCAAGTGTACTGATATGTGTGTTTGTGTGTCTGTTCATCTGTCTCTCCATCCCAGTCCCCGTGTAACGCAGCCCTTTGTGCAATGCACCCCCACACCCCCATGCACCGCTGGCCTTGTGCAATGACTGCTCACGCCTCCCCCCATCCCCCCGTGCATTGCTGGCCATTCTGCATTGCATGGTGATGAACCCGTGTGCAGCTGGCTCTTGGGAAGTGAGCCAGAATGTGTGTCCTCCTCCAGACTGTGTGCCACCAGTCTGTGTACAATGTGTGGCCACTCATTGCTGTGTAATGCAGGTTCTAATGCAGTGCACCATCACAACCCGCCATGCACCACTAGTTCACATGCAATGCAGTCGCTCCCCTGTGCAATGCAGGTCCTCGTGCAATGCACCATCACCTCCCTGTGCTCCACCAGACCACGCACAACACACAGCCACTCCCTTGTGCAACGTGGCCCCTTGTGCAATGCATGGTGCACTACTGCTTCTCGTGTGTTGCACCAGCATTGCCTGGTGTCCAATGGAGCATATCATTTGTTCAGTGCATCATCGTGCCCCTCCGTGCACCAGCAGTTGTGGAATGCACAGTGATGCCCCCTCTGTGCACCTCCTCTTCTTGTGCAACGCGTGGTCAGTCCTCCCCATGCACTTTTGGCACTTCTGCAATGCACAACCACTCCTCCCTGTGCAATGCAAGTCCTTGTGCAATGTGCAATCACCCCCCTATGCATTGCTGGGGCTGTGCAATGAATGGTCATGCCCATCACTCCCTCTCTCACTCTCTCTCCTTTCCTCCCTCCCTCCCTCCCTCCCTCCCTCCCTCCCTCCTTCCTTCTTCCCTCTTTCCCTCTCTCCATCCATCTCTCCATTGCTCTATTTCTTCCTCCCTTCTCTCCCTCCATCTATCTGCCCATCTATCCCTCCCTTTCTCCTTCCTTCTCTCCCTCTCTCCTTCCCTCTCCTTCTTTTCCCCTTTTTTCTCCTTTCCTCCTTCTCTCCATCCATTCTTCCTTCCCTCTCTCTATTCCTCCTTCCCTCCATTCTCCCATCCCTTCCTCTCTTCCTCCCTTCCTTTCTTTCCTTCCCTGTTTCCCTCCCTCCTACCCCTCTCACCCTCCCTCCATCCCTTCCTCCTTCCTTCCCTCTCCATCTCTCCATCCCTCCCACCTCTTTTCCTCCCTCCATCTCGCATCCCTCCATCCTTCCCTCCCTCCTTCCCTTCTTCCCTCCCCCTGCTTCTCTCCCCACCTCCCCCTCCCCTCTCCTCTCTCTCTCCCTCTCTCCCTCCCTCCATTCCTCCCTCCCTCTCTCCCTCCACCTCTCCCTCCATCTCTCCATCCATCCATTCCTCTCTCCACCCCTCCCTCCATTCATCCCCACTTCTCTCTCTACCTCCATCCTTCTCTCCTTCCCTCCCTCCCCTCTCTCATATCTCCACCCCTCCTTCCTTCCCCCAACCCATGCCTCAGTTTCCCCACCACACACACTGCGCTGAGCCCCATCTTTGTCACTTTGCTCCTTTATTTGTGGGGCAGGGGGTGGCACCTCGCCGTCCCCCCCCTCAGTAGCTGCGCACTTTGACCTCTTTGCTCTCGGACACCACTTTGCCATCCACCGTCCTCTGGGTGCTGCGCTGCGTAGTGACCGTCCCCTCCGTCCCCAGAGCATCCTGCAGACTGTGGGGCAGCGGGTGTCCCCGTGTCACACACTCCTATGTTACCCACTCCTGTCACCCACCCCTGTGTCACCACCCCTATGTGACCCACCCCTGTTACCCACTCCTGCCACCCACCCCTGTGTCACCCACCCCTATGTGACCCACCCCTGTTACCCACTCCTGCCACCCACCCCTGTGTCACTCAGCCCCATGCCACCCTTCCCCACTGCTACCCCAAGGAACTTGGAGGGGACATTGGGGCTGGGGAGGGGTTGGGGTGCCTGGCCACTGGGTGCTACCACTGTCCCTGTGCTGTCCCCAGATGTCCCAGCAGACAGGATACGGACATGTTTGTACCCACAGCTCATCTCTGGTGGGTGTCACTGTCCCTTTGCTGTCCCTACAGAATCCCCACTGGGTGTCACCGCTGTCCCTTTGTTATCCCTATAGGATTCCTCAGGGGTGCCACTGCTGTCCCCTTTTTGTCCCTATAAGGCCACCAGAGGTCAGGACCTGCACCTCCCAGAACTGGGGCTTGCCCCATTGAATGCCACCACTGTCCCCTTGCTGTCCCCAAACATCCCAGAGGATGGGACATAGACATCTCAACATTTGGTCTCACCCCACTGAATGCCACCATCACAGTCCCTAAAGGACTACACAGGGGCTCACCCCACTGTGAGCCAGCACTGTCTCCTGTCTGTTCCTGTAGGGTCATGGAGGTCAAAATGTGGATTTCCCACCACTGGGGCTCGACACTGATGGATGCCATCATTATCCCCTTGCTGTCCCCTCTTTGTTCCTATAGGGCCACAGAGGTCAGGACCTGCTCATCCCAACACTTGGTCTCACCCCACTGAATGCCACCACTCTCCCCTCTATCTGTCCTGTATCCCCTCCGTCTGTCCCTGTAGGGTCACAGAGGTCAGAACTTGGACTTCCCAGCACTGGGACTCAACAATGATGGATGCCATCGTTGTCCCCTCACTGTCCCCTCTATGTCCCTATAGGGCCACAGAGGTCAGGACCTACACAACCAAGTGCTGGGTCTCTCTCCACTGAATGCCACCACTGTCCCCTTGCTGTCCCTAAACATTCCAGCGGATGGGACATGGACATCCCAACACCAGGGCTCAGCCCACTGTGTGCCATCATATCTGTCCTTACAGGGTCATGGAGGTCAGAATGTGGACTTCCCACCACTGGGGCTCAACACTAATGGATGACAATGTTGTCCCTTCACCGTCCCCTCTCTACCCCTAGAGGACCACAGAGGTCAGGACCTACACATCCCAACACCAGCTCTCACCCCACCCAGATGCCCCACAGCCCCACAGTGGTGCCACCCCCCATGTCCCACCTGAACCCCTCTCCTCCCTCGAGCAGCGCACGGTACGTGGCAATCTCAGCCTCCAGCTTGCTCTTGGCGTCCTGCAGTGCGCAGTGCTCCCGGTTCTGACGCTGCAGTTCTGCCCGTGCCTGCGCCAGCTCCTCCTCCCCGCGCAGGATCAGGCCCTGCAGCTGCTCCAGCTGTGCCCCGTATCGCGCCTCTGTCTCTGCCAGGCTGCCCTCCAGCCCTGCGTTCTGCAGTGTGACCCCAAGAGCTCAGTGGGGGTAAGGGGCCTGAACCCTCCCCTCCCCCCAATTCCCTCACTCAGTGGGGTCATCCCCTATGAGGTTGGGGGCTCTTGGGATCAGGGACATCCATGTAGTCACTCATTATGGGACTGAGTGGTTTGTGGGACCGCTGTGGGGTCACATGCTATGGGGTTGGGGGCTCCTGGGCATCAGGAAGCCCCATGGAGTCACTCTTTATGGGGCTGAATGCCTTACAGAACCTCCGTGGGGACACCCCCTACAGAGTTGGGGGCTCATGAAGACAGGGACCCCCATGGACCCACACTTGATGGGGCCAGGTGGCTCACAGGAACCCCATACTGTTGCACTCTAAGGATCAGGAGGCTGGTGGGACCCCTGTGGATTTGTACTCTGTGGGGTTGGGGGGGCTGGTGGGATCCCCATGAGGTAAAGTACTATGGGGCTGGGGGCTCTTGGGACCCCTATGGAGTTGTACTTTATGGGGTCAGGGGGTTGGTGGGACCCCCATGGGGCAGCACTCTATGGGGTCGGAGGCTCATGGGGTCAGGGACTCCCATGGACACCCACTTTAAGGGGCTGGGTGGCTCACAAGACACTTCTACAGGGTTGGGGGGCTGTTGAGATCCCAATGGGGTCACACGCTATGGGGTTGGTGGCCGTGGGGTCACTCTATGGAGTCAAAATGCTGTGCAGTCACTCTCTATGGGGTCAGGATGCTGTGGGGTCACTCCCTATGGGGTCAGAGGACTGTAGGTTCACTCTACAGCGCCAAGATGCAGTGGGGTCATTCTCTTTAGGATGAGAGGGGTGTGGGGTTACTCTATGGGACCGGGGGGCTGTGGGGTTGTGCTTTGGGGTCACCTGGCTGCGCAGGGCATCCA